AAAAAAATTTTGTCGTCATCATTTTTTTCAGGACAAAAAAACTGGAATTCAAAAAAAAAAAAAATTTTTTTAATCTTTTTTTTTTTTTTTTGAATAAATTGAATGACAACAACAACAACAATTGAAAAACACATATGGTACAGCATTTGTGTAACATCTTGACACAACAACAACAACAACAACAAATTAAATTCAAATTCAAATTCAAAAAAATCAATTTCAATTTCAAAATCAAGAATAATAATGAAAAATATGGAAAAGAAATTCTGGTCAGATTTTCATTTTTGCTAATAAAAACCATAAGGTGTTTGTGTATGTAATTGAAAAAAAACCATTAAGAATTCTTGTTACATAATTTTGTTGTGCTAAAGCAAACCTTTTATTGTATTATCATCATTATGATTATGATTATGATTATGGACAACATCAGCATCAATAGGCAGCGACTGTATTTATACTTTGGTCGGTTGGTTAGTTAATATATTTATTCAACCATTATTATTGCAAATATATGTTGATATATCAAATATCAAATATCAAATACATAAATAAATAAATAAATGATTTAAGAATGCATAAAAGCATAAATAATCTAAGCCATGAGAGAGGGAAATATTCTCTCATTGCTTTTTGCTTACAAAAAAAAAGATTTGGCCCTTTTTTATATAATGATTTTCTGTTGTTTTGTTTTGTTTTGGGGACAGAAAAACAAAAACACCCGAAAAATAAAAACATTAATAACCGAAAATGAAAAAAGAAACAGAATGTATAAATTTCATATGTGTCCATGAAATAATAATAATAATTACATAGTGGATGATGATAATGGTCGACTGGTTGGTTGGTTGGTTGGTTGGTTGGTTGGTCAATGGGGGTGGGTGAAAAAATATTTCCAATATTAATACTGATAACTGATGATTTTTTTCTTCTTGTTGTTGTTTAAAAAAAACAAGGTAAAGCAAATTTATCTAAAAGCAAAGACCGGCCATAAGATTATATATATAATCAATCAGAATATAGATTCTGTAACAACAACAAAATGATAATAATAATAATATTATTACACACACACACACACACACACACACACAGAATATAAGAATATTTTTGCTAAACGAAGAAAAAACATTAATTCTCTAATGGATATAGAATTTGAAAAAAAACGAAAACTTCTAATGAATGAAAAAAGAAGCAAAAGAATTTTTCATTTCCTTTTCCCGGCTTTTCGAGTGAAACAATTAATAAATATATCCCACATACACACACTGGGATAAACACGAAACCCGAAAAAAAACCCGAAAAAAACCCTAAAAACAAACATTTCATGTAGTAGTTGTGTTTGACAATATCGTCGTCTTATTACACAGGAAAATAATAATAATAATAACAATCTTAATCATTTTGGTTGGGTAAGTAAGTAAGTAAGTAAGAAAAAGAATATTCCTTACGAATTTCTTTTTGGAACACTTTTTTTTTGTTTCCTATTTACTTTACTTTCTTCTTATACTATTTATTTTTATTGAAAAAAAATTTGACATAAACAACAAACGTTGACGATGATGACGACGACGACAAATTGCTGACTCAATCATTTAATGATATTAGCGTGTGTGAGAGAGAGAGCGAGATAAATATTAAGTTACGAAAATGTGTTTAGTTTTTGTTTTCCTTTTGTATTTACTATGGCAAAAATGTTATGGATGTTATTTTTTTTTGAACAAGCTAATAATACTTGTAAAGATTTCGATTACGATTACTAAATTTTACCTAAATTGATTATCCTATTGGTAGAGAAAAACTAATAATGATAATTTTCATTTTCATTTTTTTTTTGTTTTGGAAAATAATTGGAAATATCCTTGAATGGCAAACGTGAGAGAATTTTCAACTTTTTTTTTATTTTCCTTTTTTCGTCTATGTTACTCATATGCCTAGAGGGTCAAATGATTCCATTTTATCATCATTTTGGATCGATCATTGTCATTTTGTTTTTGTTTGTTTTTTGTTTTTGTTTTGTTTAAAGTCCGAATTTGACAATCATGACAGAAACATTTGATTCTCTTTTGGGAAAAATAAACAAACAAAAAAACTATGAAATTTATGGGAAAAAATCCGAGTCGAGAATGGAAACAAACAAACAGCGGACAGAATTTGAAAAAAAAATTTCATTTTCAATTCAAAAAAAAAGTTTTCTTTTTTTTCGTTTGTTGACCATTTTTTTTGTAATCAAAAAAAATTTTCAAATTTGACGACTGACATTTGCTTTGAAAGAAAAATACATTCATCAAGCTTTTCGATTATCCAAAGTCATAAATAACTGTTTCACACACACAAAAAGATCGAAATAAAATTGGAAATTACGTCTGTCGTATGCTGTGTTTAACAAAAAAAAAAGATTTATGATCTTCAAAAGAAAAAAAGATGAAAATTCTAATCCAAAAACAACAAGAAAGTAATCAAAAAGTATTAACATTGTGGTTTGTTTGTTTGTTGCAGGAATTTTTGAAATTTTTCCTTGTTTTGGAAATGAAAAAAAAAACAAAAAAAACGAAAAATGATAATGATAATGATACCTTGGTATAAGCTGTGCAACATTATCCAATGAATCAGATGCTTGTGGATTACTTGATAAAAATGATCGTCTATGTAATGGTGGTACATCACCATAAATATGAAATGTACCAATACCAGCACCACCGGTAGTACCATATTGTACACCACAATATGATGCTGTTGATGATCTAGCTGATTGTATACGGGACATTGTTGTTGTTTGATTACCATCACCACCACCACCACCACCACTTATTCTATCTGATGGTATTGTTTTACTAAATGGTCTAAAATTATGATCTAAATCTACAATCACTTGTTTTTGAGCTTTATTATTATTATCATTAGAATTATTATTATTTGTTGATGATGATGATATTGGTACACGTTCGGATGACGAACGTCGTCTATCCATTTGATTTGGTGGAGGATTTGAACCACTTCGTAAACGAAAAAACCATAAATTTGACATTGAACCAAATTTTTTTTGTTGTATTTGGTTGTGATGTGTATGACACAAAGAATATGAAACAAAAAAACGAAAAAAGAGGTTGAATGAAAATTTCGATGACACCCGCAACAAATGATGATGTGATCACTCAAAGTTTCATTGAAAAAATTCTTGCTGGAATTTATTTTTTTCCTTCTTTCGGATATTTAATTGGAAAAATCAATCAAGTAAATGATTTTTTGATTGTTTTTACGTAGAAAACGATAATAGATTTTTTTCGTTGTTTTGTTTTTTTTTTTGAAAATTAAATTAAAATTCAAGTAAATATTTGCCTCAAGTTGTAATTGAAAGGAGCAAGCAGCAAGGATATTTTCACTTGAAAACAATTGATTGTTGGGTTGATTGGTTTTAACCCCGTTTGTTATCGTTGATGTTGTTGTTGATGAAAAAGTAAACAAATTTCTTTTTTGTTTCATTAATTAATTAATTAAAATTTAAAATTTTTTATTTTTGTTAAAATCTTCATTGTTTGTTTATTTAAACCAAAAAAAAAGAAAAGAAACATTTTGCGCACACGCTCCAAACGCTTCAAAAGTATCACATTTTTAATTCCGAGATTTCTCGGGTAAAAATTGGCGAATTGTCAATGGAAAGCAAAAAAAGCGAAAAGCGATTAACGGGTTGATTTTTTCTATTTTGTCTTTGAAATGATTGAAATGATTGAATATCAATGTGAATAACAAACGAAATTGGTGATTTAGAATCAGTAGAATCAGAATCAGTAGAATCAGAATTTGAATTTAATGAGAAAAATCTGATTAATTTTAGATTTCTTTTTTCTTCTTCTTCTTTGGCGTTACTATGGTCGTTTGTCTTTGAATCGATTGCAAATAACGATATATAAAAAAAATAAATCAGAACAAACAACAACAACAACAATAGAATCGTTTTTTTTTGAAGGGAACAAAAGCGAAACAACAACGGAAAATTCTTAAAGAATTTTCGTTTTTTTTTGTTGTAGACGGAACAAATTTCAAATCACAAAGAATTAATGTAATCAGAATCAAACAAACAAGCAAGCAAACAAACAACAATAGAATATTTATATATTCACAGATGATTGAATTTTTTCATTCATTCATTCTACACAATCAGGATGATCAGAATTTTGACTGCTTTAAGATGTTTTGTTATTTTTTCTCGTTCTTCTTTAGGCAACAAACATTTTCCAAATTCATTATTTTAATGATGGGTTGAGAGAAAAATTCGTTCGAAAAGATCAAATGATGATTCAGTGATGATAATAGAAAAATATACCTATGAATTTTACATTCTGTAATCAGATTTTAGACATCTTTTTTTCATTCATTCATTCATAATGAATAAATCAAGCAAAAACAAAAGAAAGAAAGAAAGAAAGAAAGAAAAAAAACATTTTTTTCACATTTGTCACCAATCAAAAACAAAAACAGTAGAAGAAAATATGGAAAAAAATCATCACCATGATGATTTTAATCATCATCATCATCATCATCGTTGAAAGAATGAATGAATGATTTGAACGAAAAAATAGCTTTTGGACAACAGCGCAATGATGATGATCAAATGGGAAAATAATATACTATATTTTCAAACAAGTTTGTTTGGATCATAGTGTGTATTCTGTGAACATAATAATGTTATTGTGTGTGTGTGTGTCTATATGATGATTACAACAACAAGAATATTCTGTTCCAGCATTACATCACACACACATATGTATGGATTGGATCAAATTTCCGTTGATTTTTCTCTCTCTCACTCTCTCTTTTCTGAAAATGTTTTACCTTTACCAACCACGCAAACTCTGATGGGTTTTTTTTGTTGAAAAATCCAAATAACACATACAGAGAGACAGATAGTGAAAGAATTTTATCATTAGATAATATGTTTTTCTCCCTCTTTTTCTCTCTCCGTAGTATAATGATCATCATCATCATCATCAAAAATTGAAATTATTTTCATAAAAGGTTGAAATGTTTAAAAAAAAGAGAGATGAAAACGGTAACATTTTTTTTATTTCAATTCTTCAAAAAAGTTTTGTTAAAAAAGAATTTTTTGACAAAGAATTTTGACAAAGAATTTTCTTTTCTTCTACTATGATCACTATGATCACTATGATCATCAACATTGACAATAAGCTTATTTAAAATGTAATTATTTAAATTAGAAAAAAAAGAATAATAATAATTTAATGATGAATATCATCATCATCATATGAATTGTTAATAGAAAAACTAGGAAGAACCAAAAGTATCAGATTAATATTCTTATAAGTATAGTTATTACAATGGTTGGATATTCATTAATAGTTCAATGGACAAAAAAAAAGAAATTTTACAGAATAAAATTCTTTGCTAATTTTTCAATGAATCAAAGAAGCTAGAATATTCTAGATTTTATCGAATGATTAATAATTTTTTTGTTTTTCATCCCCCCAAATACACTTTGAATGATAACTTATTACTTTGTTTGAAATATTCGAGTGATAATAAATCTTTTCTCTTTTTACTCGGTTCTTTTCTCGGACAACAGAATTATCGGATAATAATAAATTGGGCAACAAAAATAATTTCAAAGTTTTCTTAGTTTTCAAAGAAATTTCCCTGATAATGAAAGTGTTTTTCATGGGGGAAGGAAAAGTTTTTTATTAATTATTTTCGTTGATTGAAAAAAAAGAAAACCCCGAAATAAAAAGTGAAATTGGCAATTCATTTTTGCATTTGGATTTTTCTATGATCATCATCATTAAAGGTTACGCAAAAATAAATTCCAAATCAGAATCAGATAATAATGATATAGTGATTTTTTTTTCATTTCGAAATTTGTTTGTTTGTTTGTATTTTCTCGTTGACAAATTTCAAACAAGTCAACAACAACAACAAAAATGTAACAATCCTACATACAGATAGTGACAGAAATGAATTATTTATAATAAAACAAAAAACAAAAAACAAAAATATTCATATGGAATATGACGATGTGATTTGAATGTTAGTTTGGGAAATGAATGAATGAATGAATGAATGAATTTCATTGTCTTCTTTGGTTGTTTTGTTTTGTTTGGTTGTTTGGTTGTTTGTCATGGGAAAAACAACAACAACAGAAAATTCATGAAAAAAAATGTTGAAAAAAAAATTTTAAAATTTAAATTTAAATTGATGTATATTTGTCATAAGGTTTCTGTTGTTGTATTGTATTGTTTTTTTTTGTCTATTTCGTTTTGTTTGCTTACCTATGACGTAATCCATTTTTGACAGAATAAAATTGTTCAAAAAAAAAATCATTCAAACAAGTGAAACCTATCGAATGTAAAAAAAAAAAAATTTGAAAAATTTGAAAATGCTTTTTCAAAAAAAAAAACACCTGAAATAGATTGCCATCTAGTGTTGGATCAACGAATTTCCATCAGAATATTCTACGGAAATTCAATAAAAAAGTGAACCAAAAATAGTGGTAATAAACCAGTCTATTTCACACACAGTCTATTTCTATGTCGCACACACACACACAAGGTGTTAAGTTTTGTTTTTCAACAAAAACATTTTCTTGCCTGATATGAAAAAAAGGAAATTGATAGTGAAAATGAATTTGGGAAAACATTACCGGAAAAAAACAAAAGGTGAAAAGAAATTCAATAATAACATATATGAGAAAGAAAATCGAAGAATTTCATTTTCCGAAACATTATTATTATTATTGTTTGAGAAAAAAGGTGAAAACAGAATATTGCGTGATAATTGAATTTTTTCGTCTTCGAGCTAGTGAAACTGTGAAATTCCATCATATATTTGAATAGAACTTTGAAATGTTGAAGAAGATGATTGCCAGCTGCAATGTTTTATTTGAAAATTTTCAGTTATTTATTTATTGCGAATCAAATATACCTAGCGATAGATCATCTTTGTTGAAAATCTGGTGTGTTTTTCGTTTCGGATTTGAATTTTGTATATTTTTCATCCTATTTTAACCCTAATAGACAAACAAAACTAAGATTTTAAAATAATGAAGAAAAATTCTTTCTTCTCTTGATTCGCAATTCTCGAAAACATCAATTTGATCAATGTATATGTATGTTCATTATTCTGTTCACACATATATATAAAAAAAAGAGAATATTCCATTTGTAAAATGAGAATATTATCCCGAACAACTAGAAAAGAAAAATCTTTTTCATTACTTTTTGATGACATAAATTTCTTCTTATTCATTTTCTTCAACTATCTTTTTTTAACCAAGTAAAAAAATTATCTTATTATATGTAGAGGAGAGTTAGAGAAGCAAAAAAAAAAGAAGATGATTACATTATCCGAAAAGTGTCTTGTCTATGTTTGTGTGGAAATAGGCAAAGCGAAAAAAAAATGAAAGCAATTCATTTTCTTATACACATATATGAATATTTCAGATGGTGAACAATCTTTTTTCATCTTTCTTTCTCTCCAAGCAAACACAAACAAACATTTATTTACTATAGTATCGCATTGGTGGACATAATTTTTTTTATTTTCTTCACAATCTTGTATTTTTTATCTGTGACCAGAAAATGAAAAAAAGATTTATACATCTGAACAACGCAAACAACAACAGCAAAAAAAAAAGTTTTTAGCATGGAACATATTGAGACATTCAAACTGAAAAAAAAGTGACAAAAAATCATTGTTGTTGTTGCTGTTTCCTTTCTACATAGAGTCGGGAGAGAGAGAGAGAGAGAGAAACTAACCATTTTTCTTCGGAAAAATAAAATCATCATCATCAACAACACAAAGAATATTCTGGTGAAGAACAACAACAACACTAAAGAATAAATGCAGTTGATAGCAATGAACCAAAACAAACAAACAAACAAAACGATATGGTCGAATGAAATAAAGAATTTTTCATTTTCCATAGATTCATTATTTTTTTCTTCGTATGTTTTTTTACACCAGAAATAAAAATAAAAATATGAAAAGAGATTAGGAAAACAAAAAACAAAAAGCAGAACAAAATCTATGAATGTAAATATAGAATGTCCATTCTTTTCTTTTCTTTGGTTTAAAGATTATATTTTTTGTTGTTCATTTTCTTCTTATTTGTTTTGTTT